ACGTGGGAGTACTTTTCTACCTGTGAGACGTGGGAGACTTTTCTACTCGTGAGACGTGGGAGTACTTTCTACTGTGAGACGTGGGATACTTTTCACTGTGAGACGTGGGATACTTTTCACTGTGAGATGTGGGATACTTTTCACTGTGAGATGTGGGATACTTTTCACTGTGAGATGTGGGATACTTTTCACTTTTAGCCATACCATACTTTTCACGTGGAGATAAGGGATTCTTTTCACTATGCACAATTGGATACTTTTCACCATGAGAAACAGGATACTTTGCACTCTCAGATACAGGATACTTTTCACTGTGAAACACAGGAACTTTTTCACTTTTAGACACAGAATACTTTGCACTTTCAGATAGAGGATAATTTTCACTCTGAGATACAGAATACTTTTCACTAATTGTACTTGTCCTAATAGAATCATTCCAACTTATCTTAGAATGATTATCAGGCCTACCATAACTGTTTGTATACTTTGGCCTTGAGTTGCTGTCAGGCCTACTAATGCTCTCCATGGGTGAGTCTGCTTTTGCTTTGTTTAGATATATTGTCCTTTCATGATTTTCAGGTCTTTCAGCATTTTCCATAGCTAAATCAGCTTTGTAACAATTCGCATTTACAAAATTTGATTTGGAGCATGGAGGATCTGGTCCAGATGAGTTAGCAGATATGGATCCAAACTGCTCAGGCTTCTTATAATGAGATATCCTCTGCTTCTTGGCTGGGTGAGGTTCAGCACTTGGAGACATGCGTTTCTGTGGTAGTAAAGTAAAAACCCTTCATGTTAATACAAACACCTTAAATGACAGAATAACTGGTAACTGGCATGAAGTAATTCACTAACTAATATACATATCTTTAACATGTTATTATAATTCCAGGTGCTTACAACTTAAAATTTTTAGATTATTCAACCCATAAAAGATTTTGGTTAAAACAAAACAAACTTTGAATCATTTACTTAAAACCAGTAATACTTAATGTACTTTCTTTACATACTTTAATATAAAATATCAATAATTATTGAATAATATGTTCTGGTACTTCAGTTGCAATGTTTACACATAGTAAAAAAAATAAAGAGGACTAATGAACATCTCTACCCTTATTCCATAAATTAAAAACATTCTAACTAAAAAATGAGAGATAATATAAATCAGAAACAGACCTGGGCCACAGAAGAATCATATTCCTGAGGTAAACAAGGAAACCGATTTTCACTTTCACTAGGTGGTGTTAGGTTCTGTGGCTTTTGCCTAAGAGGGAAAAATGAATGAGTTTACAATTTCAAAACTTTCACTTAACCATTTCATAAAAAAAATGCAATGAACGACAGGAAGTTAAACATTGTTCTATTTTGTTACATATTACCTTCTTCGTGTCTTTATTTTCAACTCAGATAACATTTATTAAACTAAAAGCATAATTAAAGAACAATAACACATGGAAAAAATGTTCAGTAACAACTAAAAATTCTTTCAATATTTGTTGATTTGCTTGTATCACTAAAAATGTTAGCACTGGATAAAAGATACTATTTCAACTACACTGTTTGGATTTTTAGAAAGCTAAAATACACTATTTTTTGAGTATACACAATTTAATTCTAGTTATTTTGCTAGATTTTTGTCTTACAAGGCTACATAAAATTCACAATTCTTATTTTTCTAAAAATTAAATAAAAATTATTTTATACAAGAAACTTTGTTTCTAGTAGACCAGCTAATTATATTTATCTGTGATTTTGGTACAATATTCTTTAAACGTTAAAAGCACCTCTTCATCAGTTTCAGTTCTTCAGCAGAATAGAAAGGCCAGTCATCAGAAACCTCATTCCAGATGTACCGTGCAATGTGAAAGGTATTTCCTTTAAGGACAGCTACCTGGCTCAAGATAGCACTCAGACTTTTCTTGTCCTTTTCTTTAATACCATCTGTAATTTAATATAAAATCAGCATGGATAATACTTGTAGTATCTCTATGCTCCACTTATCACCTAGTTTGAATACAAACTAATATTAATGCTTTATTGTATTTATAAATGATAAAAACAAAGATTTTTGGGTTATAAATATGACTGCTTCATGGAAACCATACAAATGTGGGAAGTTTAGTGTCAAAGATACCATGGACTATATCCTTTAGTGGAAATATAAAAAAAACGTTCAATTGAGACACAAGACATCGTTGGAATTCTTTTTTTAAATAATATTTGAATCCAACATTTTTTGTGCATTAATAAATTAATTATTAAAATAATTTATAGTCATGAAATGAAGTATAAATAGAGAAGAAATGCAAATATTTTAAAATGATTGAAAAATCACTTTACTCTTGCTATCATATGAAGGATAAAACTATATAAAATATTCTGGTTAAGCTGCTACTGTTGTAGCCTACTCAGTATAAATACTCAAGAAAAATCTTCCTGTTGAGAATCAGGACAGATTAGATTTTTCATTGATTTTAAAGAAACTAAATATTGTTACAAAATATCAATAACTTAAAACTTCTGAAATGTGATATAAAAAAAGTAACAAAACATCCACCTGTTACTTTATACATCTTAAAGCAAATATAAGTAGCAACACACCTTTCATTAATCTTGCTAAGAGTTCTGGTTTTTTGTAAGGCCTCAGGGCAAGGAGATGAATGACCCGTTCCCTAAAAGAATTACATTTTATATACAAGATACTCTTTGAGACCTGCACTATGTTTCATCATAAAAATTAATTAGTTAACAATATAGTACCTCAGTCTCACACATACATTTCCTTAATATTTAAATCTCAGATTTACAAGAAGTTATCTGTTTTAATATTGGATATTTTTACATAAAATGTTGATAGCAGACTGTTCTTGGTTCAAATGACATTTTAATATACTGCTATGTAACATATCTGGTATCTCAATACATTCTGCAATTGAAATTTTTTTATGATAAAAAGAAAACCAATACACTTAAATCTTATATTTGACCATCAAAAACCATTTGTGTCCAAATTACCAGTGAGATATTGAAAACCTTGTCAATACTGATATAAAATAGAAATACTCTCACAAATAATGAAATACATATTAAGGCTAGTAAAAACAAATTTTAGTCGTAAGTTATAATTTTTATTGCATAAAGCAAATTTTTTGTTGTAACTATTTTTTAAATATTAAATAGTCTTTATGCTGCATGGTGGAAATCAATGTTTCACTAATCATGTTCAAAAGTTTTCACCAGACATTAGTCAGACAGAAAGTACTGATATATATTTGGGGCTTAACATCACTTACAGTTCAAAAGGTTGTTGAGTACAGCTAACAAAATTACTCTTTGCTCATGATTTTGTTTAAATAATGTGCCACAATTCCTGTTTCAAAAGCTAATTAACTATTTTAAAAAAAGAAATATCATAAATACTTCCAAATATATAAACTCTGAATAGTTATTAGAAACACTAAATGAAAAAAGTAGCATTTTATTCAATCCTTTCCTTAGTAACATTTCAATTTCAACAAAACCAAAATCATATTAACTAAATATTAAAGGACAAATTTTCTCCATTACTAAGAAATTACTTTTTCTAGAATGTAATCTTTATTTCATAAGAACCATATGAAACAAATTGCAAAAAAAATAAGAACTAAAGTATACTACTACTAACCTGTAAGTCCTTCTTAAGATGTCTGGGTTGTTAGATTTCTGTTGAACTGCTGGTTTGGAGTGATTTCCAGTTGCTGCCATGTGTAAACTACTTGCTGAAGGAAAGGGCTTAGGCACAGGCCTGGATAATGGAAAAGCCGAGTGTGGTGGAGGACTGGATGGTTTAGGTGGAGGCACAGACAAAATTGGCCGTTTCATTTTTACTTTTCGTCCTGATGAAATAAAGACTACTACTTGAAATAAGTTCCATTCACCATGAAACCACATAATACACAGTAAGCAGCAGATATAGGAGATACAGCTATTAGTTAATAATCTGTACTTAAACAATATAGAGAAACCTTTTTTCTGATACTTTAAGCTTAAAATCTCTAATTTAATACAATCATTAAAGAACCCTTTAATTGTAATACTGTTCTGTAATTTTGACCAACCTATAAATTTAATAAACTGGATTAACTATTACAAAAGTAATATTTTAACTATATGACAATGTACAATTGTTTGGACTTAACAGAAACTACAAATGTATAGCTGAAATACAAATTAATTTCAGTTATTATTTTCAGAATATGTTTATATAACTGCATCATAATGTAAATTACAGTTTATTGAATTTTTCTTGTGTGCTTTTTTTTTTTTAATCTACATGCAATAGCATCATAGGTGTCTCACATAGAGGACTTATGCTATCTTATCTGAAGAATAACAAAACATAATAACTGTAAATTAAAGAATTGTTTCCTATTTTCATGGTCTGTATGAAGAAGCACACAGTCTTTTCTGGTCATACAATTTGGCTATTTCCAATAATTCATGTCACTCAGTACTTCTCTACCAACTTTCAAATTAATTTTACTTATTCTCAAAAACCTATACCACAACTGCTAAGATATACAGAAAACAGTTAAATATTTTATGCTAATTCCTTATAAATATCACTTGTTAGCATTATGCAATTTCATAAAGAAAGAAAATTCCAGGCAACAATGATCTAAACTCAATCTATATCCTACTTAACCTAGATAAATAACAGGTTTTTCTCTTTGAATACAAAAGGAACAGTGATTTTTTTATTAATATGAAAAAATAAAAAACAATGTTTGTACTGACCTACATAAGGTCCCGATGCCTTGATAATTTTTGTGCTATATGAAAATAAAATTTGTCTTACTAAAACATAAAAACCTACATGTTAATTTAAGGAGCAATACAAGAGAGCAATTATAAAACATTCATAACATTATTAAGTTTATCATAACAGTTTTTTTATGTAAGATACCAAATCTAGTTCAATTACAATGTTAAATAAAAAAACACTTAAAAAAAAGTAATAAAGTTGTTGAATAACAGAGAAATAATGTACAAAATAATTTCACAATTATACTCATACTAATAAATATTATATAGGTGGAGTTGTTGCTGTTGTCTTCTTAGTGCAAAGCTACACAATGGGCTATCTGCACTGTGTCCACCACAGGGAATCAAACCCCAGATTTTATTAGCGTTGTAAGTGTGTAAACTTACCACTGACCCACCATTTGACTATACAGGTATAATAAAATGTAAGATAAATAATAAACACCAGCAAATAGTTCAAAAGATATAAGCATGCTCTTGCATTTTCATCCTTAATTTTAAGGTTAAATAGAATTCTTTTAGAGGAAACTTTTGAAGGTTCTATCAAAAATTATAACTTTATGCAGTTTTAACATAATAAAACTTTATAGTTATTGTACATGCATAAGAATTCATGCTAGAACTAGAAATTAAATAATTGCTTTGTAATTTGCTCCTAACAATTCAAATAAATTTCTTTAGCTCAAAAGAAAGTAATCATTTAACAAAAGTGTAGAATTTTTATCAACTCATTTAAGATATATTTCATAAACCCATCTTAAGATTTAAAATAATTTGTTATATACAAATACATACACGTGTTAATATGAAATGAATTCTCCTTATTTCAAATTAAATACATTTATATAAAATTAATCTAAACTTTAAACTATTTAATAGATGAAAGTACAGCTAATTATATAGTTCTACTCCAACAGTTAAATAATCACTCAAACATATTAGCTGAAGAAAAAGAAATACTTGTCATATTCTTTGCAAGGTTTATAAAACTATTTTCATTAAGCAGATAGCTAATATACAAATGCATCTACACTTTACAAGAGACAAGTTGCCAAAGCCCACATATGGCACAACAGTGTGAAAAATTTATAATTTAAGACAATATTACTTCAGTTCCAGGATTTCTAATTAGCATTCAATAACATGGGGTGTTTTGTTTAAACACTGCATGCTTGTGTATATGCGTGTTCTTCATGCATCATTAACAGCTCAAAATGCTTTTCCAAACAATTCATGTCAGTTTACTTAGTCTAATATGGTCTTCCAGAACATTAATTCTTTATCAATATTCAGTAAACAATAAGGATTTCAGTAGTAATTAGAAGTTAAGAACAATTAACAATCAAACATTTAAGCAAATAGCTCTTCATGCATTAGTTCTTAATATGTGCATTTAGCCCATTACATGTTGCCCATTAAGAATTACTTAGTATTTAGATTAGCTAACCAATTCTACCTTGCTTATAAACTAGCAAGTCACTTTTCACAGTGTTTGCAAACTACCAATACAATGAGATTTGCTACTTGAAAGAATAAACTTAAAACAAATTTGTAACTCCCTGATGAAAAAAAATCTGTTTTTTCATTCTTTATTATGTATTCAATATCTTGAATAGTAGAAAAGAATATAACTTTAATTATATTATAATGATGAAAAAAGTTATTATCTTCTGTTCCCCAAAGCCAGATAACCTCTACTGACCAGTTTTTCTTGTTCTCTTGTTCAGCCACTGCCATTTTTGCTCTTGTTTTTTCATAGCTATCCTCATTGGCACAAATCTGCATTTTGTGCATCATTGAGCCTACCGATTCTAAAAGCCTGGAAAGGGGGGGAAAAAACATGGATTGAAAATCAAAATCTACTGTACACATTAACATGAAAAAGACAAAAAATCTGCAAATGTACATACTTCTATTGTTTTTGAACTTCTTAGAATATCTGAAAAATAACATACTCTTGATTACTAACACTTTTTTTGAAACAGCTGAGCAGCACTTCATTACTGTGATACTTTTAGATTATCTCAATATTAGCACTTTTTTCAACTTCTTGACATTAAAACATTTCAATGATACTTTTGGAATATTTAAATATTAACACTGTTGAAACATCTGAGCATTAGAATGTTACAATTATACCTTTGGAGTATCTAAATATTAACAATTGTGGGAACATGTAGGCACTGGAAGAATTCAATGAAGCTTCTAGAAAATCTAAATGTTAACATATGCTTGATTAAAGATTTCTTGAAACACCTGAGCATAAGAGCATTTCAATGATAATTTTGGACTATATGTATAAATTAAGATGCTTTAACTACTATGAATAATACTGATTTATACTACTTAAAAAGAAATTGAGTAGTAATTATAAAATGTACCTAAACTTCAGATACATTTCAACATTAAAAAACTAGTTGTTGATTCAAGTTTCATATAAAACAATAAAAAAACTTATACATTTTTAACATTGATTTACTCTAGTGGAAACAATGGCTTAGTAAATCCCTGCAAAGAAGGTTATTTTAACATGGATTTCTTAAAATAGTAATCAAAAGGACATCAACACCTTTCTTACAACACAAAGGAATTTTTATATACACACACACAATAGAAATAACTTGTATATTTTTAACATTGATTTATTCTAGCAGAAACGATGGTTTAATAAATTCCTGTGAAGAAAGTTATTTTAACATGGGTTTCTTAAACCATTAATCCAAAGGACATTAACACCTTTCTTACAACACAAAGGAATTGATTTTTTTATATATATAAAATCACATGTAGGAAAGAAATCTTACTATATTTAATAACTACATTGAGCAACTACTCTTCATCAAGTGTTAATTTCTCTTATCAAATATACAGGTCAAAGAGCAGTTGGTTCTCATCATTCACATGTTGTTGAAACCAATGTTAAAGTACATGTTTTTCAAACACGTCAGGAAAGAAAAATCTGTTATTTTATGCAACAATGACATTTCAAGCTACCTCTCCATCAGGTTTTATATTTCTCTTATCAAATATAGAGGTCAATGAGTAGTTGCTCAAAATGTCATTGTTACATACGGTAACAGTTTTCTTTCCTAGACATGTGTTAAAAAAGAAAAACACTTCTTTAACAATGGTTTCAACAACAAGTTAATGATGAGAACCAAAACTAAATCTGTAACTATACAAACTATTTTGTGAATCAATCTAGTTTAATATCTACCAATTTCTTTACAGTATATAAAATTAAAATCACTCAAAATAATAAACTAAAATTCTGTTCTCACCTTGATCCTTTCTGTTGTAAGCATTCAAAACTGCCTTGTAAGTTATCAGCTTCAATGTTGGACAAAGTGAAGCCAAATGACTGTTGACTGTTGTGGACACCTGGTAACCGTATCACCTAGAGAGATAAATAAGCATTAACAATCATTTTTTCAAACTTTCAAAAATTACACCTTACCAAACTATGCTTCACTTCTAAAGTTTCTCAAAATTACATAAACATCTTTAATAATACTTTGATTACAAAGATCTTTGAAAGGTTTTTGTTGGTTATTTCCAAACTTTTGATTCTAAAATTCTCACTCAGATACAAAATTTTGTTTATCTATAAAGAATCTTGAAATAAAGAAAGCACTAAATTCAAAAACCATATCACTTTAGTGAGATCTACATACTATTATCATAAGCCTTACTAATATGAAGACTCATTGTATGAACAATATTCAAGCTATTTGTCAAACTGAGCAAAATTCAAAACCTTATCAATCTAGTTCTTAACAATATAACAGAAAAAAAAATTATTGCCATCTTTTTTCTTTACCTATATAAAATTTCCAAAGGTGTTCTTATTAGTTTTCATTATATTATCCTTTTCCTTTTTCTATATAAAGTTTTTTGTATTACTTAAAAAATTAAATAGTATTGTCCAAGAAATATTTTATACAAGGTTTGCTACAACACAATTACTTTTTACGCACTTGTGATTTTGAATAATATAGATTAGATTTAAATAAACAATAGTCTTATAAACCTAGCAACAGTTTACCATCATGTTGAACATACTCAAGATACTTAATGGTAAATCACTTCCATATTTTAAGCCTATAATCACTTTACATTTCATTATATCAAGGATTTTTTAAACAGTAGCAATTAGATTATCTAATAAATTTCTCTGCTTACTTTTCTTGTTGATACACATGCAATTTGCACTCTTTTTCTGGAGCTAATTTAATATTTTTAAAAAATTATAGAAATTCTTAGTAGTATTTGGTGCCAATCATGTCAGCTAAATATGCTGCTGTTTTTCTCATTATACAAAGTTATTTGAAGGATGTGACATACATGTACTGTGTTATAGTTTAACAGCTAGTCAGTGTTTCAGACATTAAATATTAAGAAAATTTTATAAACTCCTGAAGAATCCACATGATAACTGCTTTTATTACCAGCAGAACACTGTAATAAGGAGTATCTTATCATACAGTATGAGGATAGCCACGACTGTGATAACTGCTATTATTAATAGTAAAACACTGAAATAAGGAATACCTTACTACACTAGGGACTTAAAAACAAATGTGAAGATAGTCATGACTGTATATACAGAAATACATACATATATTTTTATACCAGAAAGTTTATGTTACAGTTACAGAAGGCCAGCACGAAACATTATATCACTACCAATTACCTGAAAGCAAATTGCAATCCTAAATTTACTCTACACAATTTAGTATTAACTTGCTATTCACAATAAGCCATATAAACTTGATGCTTAAAAACCCAAAATTTATTAAATATAGGAGCAAGTATGAGTAAATACTCATATTCAAACAGAATATATATATATAAATTTCAACAAACAGTTCTACTTTCAGTATGATCTGTTGTATTTCAAACACAATTACAACATATGAATTTGTAAGTCCATATACATTTTAATGGCATGCTCATGCCAAAATATGAAGTCATGACCTTCCCTCAGTTCAATAGAGTTCCACACCAAAAAATATCTACATAAATAATCTTACAATACATCTTATATTATTTCCCACTCATACAACCAATACGATATTTTGGCTCAAGCCTGTAATTAGTCCCGAGTCCAAGATGTCACTGTCCATGAGTGCCACTTCTAGAAAATGTTCTAATTACTTTCTTCTACCTTTGTCCATTTAAGGTATTGGCATAATGTGTACAAACAACTTGTAAATATTACTATTTATAATAATATAACTTATATTATTATTAAATATTATAAATGTACAGACTGACCAGCATCTTAAGAATATTTTACACTACTGTTTGAACTTTTAGGAATTTCCTTTTCAATGGCTATACACAAAAATCAAGAAAGTTTCCTTCTTTAATTATCACTGCTGTACCATACATTGGAATAGGAAAAACACCTTTGCCATACACTTGAGGTCAAGAACGTGTTAGATATTACTTGTCATATTTCAATTGTTTGACCAAATGTTTCTGACCAAGAAATCTGCGTATCTAATCTCAAATAACTGAAAACAGTTTCCATAACCCCTACATTCTCTTTGCAACAAATCCACAGTATGTTAAGAATCTCTGAAAGCTTCAAATTTTGTACAGCTTTAAATGTCGAAAAAAATATTATAACTAAAATACTTTCCTTTTCATTTATAAACTAGTCTCGGATATCCACTATCTCCTTCCAGATAAGATGCATATACATATTGAAGAAACAACATAATTCAAGAAAAAGCTTCAAGTGATATTTTCAAAGCACAAAGTATCCTATTTAATAGGGGATAAACGAAACAGAATGCAGAAATATTGTGTTGCAGTGCTTCATAGTGTACTACCAATTTTGTATTGAAATAGTTCAGGTTTGTTGCTGGATAAAGATCAAACTAATACATAGACTAGCTCTGACTTTATTTTTTTCTTTATGCAACTTTGAGCACAGAGTATATTATCTGCAAAAGACTGGTTTTACTTTTACATTTCTTAAGTAGGTTTAGTCTACCTTTAGGTCTCGTACTGGTCTTGCTCTTTTCTGTATTCTGTTGATAGACACCATTATTTTACATATTTTTAACAACAAATTAAAAACTGATATCATTATGATCATAATTATTTCAGAATATTGTTCAAACTATTATTGTTAGTAAAATGATATAATTTCTAAAAAATTAAACTGTCATCACAGCTTTATGTAATGGTGAATTCTCCCCTCATCTTGTAGGAGAAAAGCCTTAACTACTTAAATCTTTTTACAACACAGCAAGATATACAGAAGTGACTAAACACACACAAAGGTTTAAATTACACCCATTAATATTATTGATACAGTCCATAATTTTAACAATGCAAGTAATAAAATACAGCATTAACTCTAAGAGTTAATCTGTGGCCTTAGAAAAATATTTCTGATATAGCCATTAAAAAGTTCTCAAAAAAAAGTAAAACTCCAAGGAATGTTAAAATTAAAAATATGCAATTTGAAAGCATCAACACAGCTGCTTCATGTATGTGTGTGTGTGGGGGGGGGGGGGGATTGTAATGCCTGATAACATTCAAATCTGTCAAGGTTTTTCATTTTCCAGGGTATATTACCAGATCCAACCTTCTGAGATAACAAACACCTGTATTTGACTCCGAATTTGAATATCAAACACAAATTAAATACTGTATGTAAGTTTTATACTAGTAGTTTAAAATGAAAGTTAGGCCGATCAGTATTTCTTAAGAGTTTTGGTGTTTTCGTATGTATTTCACAACATACTCCCTTTGTTTTCTCACTAAGTCTTCCTCAGCATTATAAATAAAGTCGAGTTTGGGGGTTTTCTGCATTTTGTCATATGCAAACTTATGCAAGAAATTTTTAGTTTTGGGATGACTAGTAATGAAATATTTTTTTGGAGCAATACTGTTGGATATTCTTACTTGTTTCCTTTACAAAGTACTATTAAATTGAACTGTTTTACAAGAAATCTAGAAACCTGGTGTGTCATTTTTTTAATCAAAAGAAAATTCAATGCTAATAAGGTTATCAGTAAATTGCTTAAACTTTGTGATAAGCCAGGCTATTTACAGATCAATAAATAGTAAGATATTACTGGCCTTTACAGACAAGCAAAAGGAATAAGTTTCGTACATCAATACTGCAGCTTCAGGTGAGGATTGAATGAAGTTTATCATTGTTGCAAAGCTTCAAGTGCTTTGATAACCTTCAACAAATCTTTGTCAAGTTTCTTTCACTGTACAAGATGTGTCATCAGTTAAATAATGGGGGAAAACAATGAAAAATCTACGAAGACAAGCTGAAATCTATTTTCGCGATGTGTGAACTGAGAAAATCATCCCAGAAATATTTGAAAGCTTCAATAAAACTTTTAGCAGTACTAGTCATATATGCACTTAATTTTGGAAAATAAATGCTTAATATATATATATGGTACAACACATGAAATATGTAAATTAGGAACGTATATTAATATACATGTACACAGTTCAAATCAAGCCTTCTTGTAAATCTTTCAATACTTTTACACTAAACGTACGTAGTGTTAAAATAGTTTCAATCTCTCAAATTGACTTAAGTGGCTTGAACAATTACATCCTTTACAACCACGACATCAACTATAATAT